TAAAAAATAAAAAAATTAAGTGACCAATTGCAGGAGTGTTACCCTTACCTAACGTCCTTCCCCACAGTCATGGCAGCAATCACTTTCTTCACAGCCTCCTTCCTCTTTTCTTTCTTTTCATTGTTGAGTTCAGCCTTTAATTCAAAGATTTCTCCTACAAAAGAAGAGAACAAATTGGTGAGATCCCAGAACCAGAAAACTAGAGCAGAATACTACACTCTGTAATAAATAACATGACCGCTGACCAGAGGCAGGACAGCAACTGAAGAAGAGAATTTAAAAATTATAGGACAGGTACAATTCAAATCTGTAGAATATTAATTGACCCACTGATAACGATACCATCTTTGAGGTTATGGCCAGAGAAGATGATGAAATCCAGATCTTAGGAAGTGTAGGAGTGGGGAAAAAAACAAATCTCACAACATCCTACTATAATAGGGGAGAATGGCATCTGAGTGATGATGATCTTCCATCACAATTTCAAGGTTCCAAGGAAAAAATAAATGTAGGCACAAAACAGGTTCACAAATCTGTTTTCAAACCAAAGAGATGCCATATATCAGCTCATTCACCCACTCTCAACTTTACTGATAAAGAACTGAGGCTCACAGATCAGAGAGTGAATTAGTGACAGAGCTGTTCTTAGAACTGTGTCTCCTGACTGTTGAATCCAGAGGTTTCCAACCTTGGCCACACACTAATATTACCTGGGAGGTATTTAGAAATAATAACACTCAGGCTCTACTCTGGACCAAATAAATCAGCATGTCAAGGAGAACTCTTACATTCATATTTTTTAAAGTTCCTCCAAGTGATTCTAATGCACAACCAGGGCTGAGAATCCCTGCTCTAATTAGCACTTTAAGAAGCTGACGGGCTTCCTCCCCAGCATTCCAGCCTCCTCAGATATTGGGTAAATCCATCTTGGGCATTCCAGCCCCGGTCAAGCCTGAGGTATACCAGGGGGTACCTCGTGGAGCCAGAGAACCACTAGTTGAGCCCAGCAGACCAACAGAATTGTGAGAAATGCCCATGATTGTTGTCTAAGCCATTAATTTGGGGGCAGTTTGCTACATAGTGTTGAATAATGAAACATCTTCTCTCTGGGGCTTGCAATTTTTTCAACAGGCATCTTCTCCCCACCATTTCTGGGCTGCTCCAGCTCATCCCTTCATGCTTCGTTGATAATTGGGTATAAGGGATTTTAAAGAATGTCAAAGAGGAGGTCTGCAAGGCGTTTGGAATTGAATGGAAATTCCACTTGTAAATCAAGCAAGTTGTTGAGCCTGTGTGATATTAAGGAACAGACACCAGCTGAGGGCACAGGGAGGGTGGGATGAAGAGGGCATTCTACTGTTGATACATATTTGGGTCATTTCCAGCTTGGAGCTATTATGAATAGCGTTTCTACAAACACTCTGGTGCATGTCCTTTGGTGAACAAATATACACATTTCTCTTGGCTACCCACACTTAGATGTGGAAGTGAGGACTCACATGACATTATATGTTCAGCAAAGTGGATGCCCTGATTTACCCCACCCTCATCAAGGTTTGAGAGCCCCAGCTTCTTCATATTCTTGCCAATATTCATTTTAACCTTCTGGTGGGTACATAGTCGTCTTTTTTTTTTTTTTTGAGATTTTATTTATTTATTTGACAGATAGAGAGAGCACAAGTGGGCAGAGCGGTAGGCAGAGGTAGAAGGGGAGGCAGACTCCCGGTTGAGCTGGGAGCTCGACGTGGGACTCAATCCCAGGACCCTGGGATCATGACCTGAGCCGAAGGCAGACACTTGGCTGACTGAGCCACCCAGGCGCCCCATAGTGGTCTTAATGAGCATTTCCTTGATGCCTATTAAGTTGAGCATCTTTTCATATGTTTTGTGGTCAGGTGGGCATCCTCTTTAGCACACCTATTCAATTACTTTACCCATTTCCTTTTTTGTTGTTGAATTCTAGGTGACACAGAAACAGTGAAGCGTTAGGCCTTGGGTGGGTTCCCAATTTGCTCAGTGAATTTACTGCCCATCTAAGCAAGGGCATTGGTTCACACGACCTGTTGGCCAACCTTATCTTGCACAGCACTCATTTCTCCAATGGAGAATTATTTCTAACATTTCTTATGCTAGCCAATATTCCCTACAGTGTAGATTTTGATAACAATATTTATAATGCTTAAGAGTGACCTCTTGAAAGTAGATTGCAGAGTAAACACTGTCATTGAAGGCTAACTGCCTCTAGGGTATAAGCTGAAGTTAATTTACACAAAAGTGCACTTCCCTGTTTACTTATTTTTTTTAATTATAATTTTTTTATTATGTTATGTTAGTCACCATACAGTACATCATTAGTTTTTGGTGTAGTGTTCCATGATTCATTGTTTGCATATAATGCTCCATGCTATATGTGCCCTCCTTAATACCCATCACCGTGCTCACCTCACACTTGAGTAACCCCCATACACTGGTAAATCGAAGGCAAAGGTACAAGCTAATCACTCAAAATCCTTTTTTCAAGACCTACAACTTTTAAAAGTCACTGCCCTCCTATCCCAAACACCATTAGTTGGGTTCTGCAAGACAGAATTCTGCCAACAAACAGAAATTTCGTTTTGGCTTGATGGGATTTCACACTGCACCATGTTTGTGTTTACCATAATCTCCCTTATACAAACTAAAAAAAAAAAAAAAAAAGGCAGTCCCTACTAATGATTAAAATCAGGCTAAGAATGTCTCTCCTTGGGTCTGGTTCTTTCTTCACAAACCACCACTGGAAAACTCTCAAGAACAACTGGTGGGATGTAAAACTAGCCTTGTCTGGCCTGTCTGGGTTTTCCTCTGTAGTCCAGCAAAATGCCCTGTGGCTCCCGAGTGCCTAATAAATCAGGTCTGCACAGTACAGCTTCAGTGCTCGACTGGGGGCATGGCAGGCCCTTGAGTTCCAGCCAGGCATGGGCATCCAAGCCCCGAACCCTCCCTCACCCATCTGGAAATGAGCTGGCGGGGTAGGTGGTAAGATCAGGTAAGTGAACAGACACTTACTGGATGGTCAGATGGGTAAAACCTTGTCTTAGCAACTTAGCTAAAATGGGGAGAAGATTGGACCCTGTCACTTTAGAGAAAGAAAGTACTGCATGCTAGGAATTAAAAACAAAAAACAAAAAACAAACCAACAACAACACTTCAGAGAGTGCCAGAGTGGTGATGGGGGGGGCGGTTCCTTAATAGAAACTTGGGGTAACGAGAAACTGGGACAAATCAGTCCCTTAGGATGCGTGTATAGGAAGTGTGGAGGGAGAGGTGTGCATGCTGCTGGAAGAGGTGGGGTGGCCATCTGTACTTCACAGGCTGTGAAAAGCGTGGATGAAGCTTTATGAGTCTTCTCAAGAAAATGCTTGGGGGTGCCTGGGTGGCTCAGT